CCATAAAACCACATAGCGTTAATCTCACGTTAAAAAAATTATCGCCGTTAAAATGGCCTCGCGTTAACGCGTTAATAACGCGATAATTTTGACAGCACTAATATATATATATATATATATATATATATATATATATATATATACCAGAAAATCAAAACTCTGTTTAATCATGAACTATTTACATACAGCAATGCATCTACAGAAGAATAAACAAACTCACAGGGATGGGAGTCTCCCTTTGGGGTCAAAGCAGGTCAGTTTTTAATTGTTACAATACAGGAGGTTTTTTTTTTCTAAATATATTTTTTATTATCTAAAAATATAGGATCTTTTTTAGTTGTAATATTGGATATAAGGGAAGATCCAATTCTTACTTTGGAATATTACAGCCCTAAGATTAAAGAAACTCGTCCATCTCCTCCCTCTGTGCTTTGCACTTTCCTTATGTAATGTTAGCTTACAAAAAAAAAGCAGAAGAATGAGGATGAAGTTCAACAGCGGGATAGAGGGCCTCACTGAACCTCAGATCTTTGTAGGTGTGAAGACGACTGCGGCTGTCATTAGAAACTTTGTAGAAAGATATGCTGCCAGCCTCATAATCCAGGTACACTCCAACACGAGAGCAGCGCAAAGAGGAGACAAATATACCATTGTTTTTATGCCATATGTAGGAACCATGTCCTGATAAACTCTGGGACCAGGACTTTTCATTCATCCCAAACCTGTGGTCCACTGTGTTTCCTTTTCTGTTGATGCTTTTGTATGCTAGGCCAACAGTGCAGGGCTCCACCACCTCCACCTCAAAGTAGCAGCGCTCCTGTAGGCCCTGTTCACACAGGACCTGAGCGAAGTGCTCAAACCTTTCTTTGTGATCAGGATAGGGCTGCTCTTTCTCTACCCAGGTCACCTTTCTGTTCCCGTCAGATAGAAGCAGATTCTTGTGTGCAGTTTTGGAGTCCAGAGTAAGTTTGCAGGCATCTGGAAAAACAAAAATATTATAAAAATACATTAGAGAGTGGAAAATGTAGAGCGTGATTAATTCGCAGGCCGATTTATCAGCTGATATAAAAATATTTTTGCTGCAAACAGCCAAAAAAGACTTCTGCCACTCAGTGTTATTGATCTGGATTTAATATTTATACCTATATATAATAACTATTTTGTTTCATGCTCATTCCTCGATTATTCAACTTATAAAAAAGTTGTTCATGTGATTTATCTTTGTGTTTAATAGCTGTTTGACACTTTGACAGTTGAAAACTACTGTTGGTCTTGGTTTTATTTATGGATTAAGTCCAACCATATAGGGGTAATGTGACATTAGCAATATTGTATTGTATTCTTTTTGATTTTTTACTCACCAGAAAAAAGGAACTAAAATAAAAAGTTATCTACTTACACTTTAAGAATCCTGGTTTCGTCCGATTACTTCCATCATGTTTAAAACTTTAGAGAGAGATCACAGTTAGAAACCAACTTATTTAAAGTACTATATATGGCCATTTTGGACTGGTTTCGAGAATTCAAAGGAATAGCATTACAATTACTTGAGTTTTTGTTGTTTAAATTGCTCAGAAATTAGCTTGATTCCTGTTTCCCCCAGATGGTTGTAGCTTAGGTCCAGTTCCACCAGGTGGGAGGGGTTGGACTTGAGAGCTGAGACCAGATATTCACACCCCGTCCATGTGATACAGCAGCCAGATAACCTGAGAACATCCAAGGGTTGATGCAACTGTTAGACTGATTGCCAAAGACTCTCGTCATCAGTAATTTGTAGAAAACATCTAAACAATGAATACTGGATAAAGTTATATTAACACCATCCATCTTCTTCCGCTTATCCGGGGTCGGGATGCGGGGGTAGCAGCTTCAGTAGGGAGGCCCAGTCCTCCCTCTCCCCAGCCACTTGGGCCAGCTCCTCTGGGGGAATCCCAAGGCACTCCCAGGCCAACCAAGAAACATAGTCCCTCCTGCGTGTCCTGGGTCTCTCCCTGGGCCTCCTCCCGGTGGGAGGTGCCTGGAACACCTCACCAGGGAGACATCCAGGAGGCATCCTAACCCAATGCCCGAGCCACCTCAACTGGCTCGTCTCGATGTGGAGGAGCAGCGGCTCTACTCTGAGTCCCCCTCCGGATGACTGGGCTCCTCACCCTATCTCTAAGGGAGAGCCCAGCCACCCTACAGAGAAAACCCATTTCAGCCGCTTGTATCCGGGATCTCATTCTTTCGGTAATGACCAAAAGCTCATGACCATAGATGAGGGTAGGAATGTAGATCAACCGGTAAATCGAGAGCTTTGCCTTTTGGCTCAGCTCTCTCTTCACCACAATAGACCGGTACAGCGCACGCTTCACAGCAGACGCTGCACCAATCCGCCTGTCGATCTCCAGCTACATCTTCCCCTCATTCGTGAACAAAAACCCAAGATACTTAAACTCCTCCACAAGGGATAGTACATCCTCCCCAACCGGTAGAAGGGCACTCTACCCTTTTCCGGCTCAAGACCATGGTCTCGGATTTGGAGGCACTGATACTCATCCCGGCTGCTTCAAATTCAGCTGCGAACCACTCCAGTGAGCGCTGTAGATCACGCCCTGATGAAGCCAATAGGACCACATCATCCGCGAATAACAGAGACGCAATCCTAAGTCCACCAAAACACATCCCCTCAACACCTTGCCTGCGCCTAGAAATTCTGTCCATAAAAGTTATGAACAGAATCAGTGACAAAGGGCAACCTTGGCATAGTCCAACCCTCACCGGAAACGAGTCCGACTTTCTGCCGGCCATGCGGACCAGGCTCTGACACCGGTCATACCGATTTTAACACCGAAAAAAGAAATAACATTATTATGACAGCTTTAAGAAAATAGATTGTATTTTGATGTGCATAAATACCTTAATACTTGGAGTTTGCAGCAGGGACTCGACAGCCCGCCACAGAGTAACTTCACACCTGAATCCATCAAATCATTGTTGCTCAGGTCGAGATCTCGGAGCGGGGAAAATGGGAACTTTAAACCAAAGACCAGGTGTTCAATCCACTCTGCAGTCACCTTGCAGTCTTTTAAACTATAACAAATGTACAACCTCATGTTAGTAACAAGTACATTGCACATGTACAGCCCTAATTTGGTTCGGCTCCTTTGGCGTTTGGCTCATTTCCCATTGGTGAGGCTCTAACACCTAGCTGGCAAGCTGCGTCGCCCCTGTCATATCTTGTAACACTATCACAAAGGGTTAGTGTTGATTATGTCACCAGTGCAACAGAAATCAGGAAAGTAAACAATGGAGAGCAACATCTAAGGAAACCAGGGCATAACTTTTAAGAGGTTTTAAGTGGGGCTAATAACTCAGAATATATAAAATTCTACCGGTAACATTTTTACCAGCAGGTGGAGCCATTGTGCGCAGCTCCAAGCTGACACCAAAAGTTTCAAACCCCACAGCTCTGGGACTGTTATAGCTAGAGGTCTGAAATTTTCTGCATTTGTGGTTGACATGATGTAGAAAAAATATAATACAATAAAACCTGCTTTTTCTCAAGACTGTCTTTATAACTGCTCATTTCCGAGGAAAAAACAAAACAACAACTTTGAGTCATGTTTGAACTGATGCAGGTTGGTCTGTGTTCTAGTAACCCAATTTTAATTTATATATTAGGAAACTAGACGGTGTTAGATTACAAATAATGTATTGCACATGTAATTTGGGCTTACAGTTCCTTTTTATTTATTTAATTATTTGCTTATCCATTTGGGTATGCAAAATAGGCGAGGATTACCCAAAATAAGGTGGATGTTTTTATTCTGCGTTCTGACTTTGTTTCTGCCGTTGTGTTTTTATTTTTTGTCCAGAAAATCGCCTTTGAAATCGAATCTATTATTAATAAATTTTATTAAATATTACAATATTATCATCATGAAACACCCTTTCTGATGCTCTTAAATATATTATTAGTACTGAAATATTCAGGTTACTTGAATTTACTATGAAACTTGAAACGACGTGTGACGTAACAAGGCCTTGCTCGCATCAGTCACATGACTTGGGTGGCCTTGGAATAGTTATCAGCGACACTTCTGCTTCAAAATGGTCGAAGCAGTGTCGAGCAGAATGACTCGAGATTAACATCACTGGTAGGCTACGGAAATCAGAACGATTGAACAACCAAAAGCTAAGTGGACTGGCCTAACTTCAGAACCAGATTCTGCAAAACAGACTTTCTGCAAATATCGCTTCAAGTGTGCAGGCAACTTTGAGACACCAGAACTTGGAGTCAAATAGTATCTAAGAGGAAAGGACATTAGCTTTTCTGCAGCAGGCCTGAAATTCTAAGCAGCCGAACACTGGAAACAACTGTTTGTTCCAATAGAGCTTACACAGGTTGCAGTTTAGGCAAAGTTAGGGAAAGATTAAAAGCCAACAAATGTAGGTTTTTGATGATTTTTTAAAATAATTTCATGTGCTTACTGTTGTGTAAAGCAAGCTACCCTATGCCGAGAAATACCTGGCTGCCGAGAATTACCTCCCCTCTCGCACACTGATGAGAAAAAGGATGGAATTATGACCGAAAATGGAACTCTTAAACACATTCTTAATGTTTTCATATTTCTTATGAAGGGATGCCCTAAAATTGAGAACTTTTGGGGAAATCGAATAATTACGACTTTTACTTGTATGGAGACAAGCTTTAGTCGATGTGCTACAGTCAGTGTACGAACCCAAGCTAGGTGTTAGACATGGCTTTTTTTGCCAATGGGAAGGGAACCGAAGGCCAGTTGTTTTTGGTGGGAAAGAGGCTTAACTTTCACCAAACCCTTTGGATTTGAAAAACATTAATATTCAACACTCGTCTCAAAACAGATACATTTCCTTTATTATAAAAAGGAAACTCACACAGCCTTTTTGCTGCTCCTCACTGCTGGTATGAGCCTCCTTCTGCCTTCATCTGTTGTGTTGTAACTTTTTAGGTCCAACTCCTCCAGTTCATTCTTGGACACCTGCAGCATGTAGGCCAGGGCAGAGCAATGTAGGGGAGTCAACTCTTTCTTTGAACGATTGTCCAGTTGAAGATATTCTTGGATCTCATCTTTGAGTTTATGATCTCTCATCTCAACCAAAGCCTGGAAGATATTGATGCAGCTATCTGGAGACAGGTTCTTTCTTCGGAGAGATCTCAGGTAAGTTAAGACTTTCTTGTCTGCATCTTCATTTGGGTCAACAGATGTCAACATGCCCTGAAGAGGTCTTCGGTTGGGTTCAATCATCAGGCCAAGTAAGAACCGCATGAAAAAGTCCAAGTGACCATTCTTCTTTTTAAGAACTTTGTCAACAGTCATCTTTATAAGGTCAGCTAAAGCATAATCTTTTTCCTCCAACTTAAGGAATTCTACAAGCTCTTTGGTGTTCTTGGTTGTGAAACATTCATAGACATACAGTGCAGCAAAGAACTCTTGGAGGGTCAGATGCACAAAGAAAAAGATCTTTCTCTGGTAGAAAACTTTTTCTTCTCTGAGAACCGTGTTGCAAAAACCAGAATAGATAGAAGCTTCTTCTGTGTCGATTCCATTGTCTCTCAGGTCTTCCTCATAAAATATTAGATTATTATCTAGAAGTTGGAAAAATGCAAGCCTCCCAAGTTTTAAAAGAAACTCTTTGTGCGTCTGCAGAAGCTTCTCCATGTGGGTCTTACTCTTCTTATCATATTTTCTGCTTCTACGTTTTGTTTGGGCAAAAACAAAACGTGCCATCGTCTCTGTCAGAGTCTGAGGGATTTCAGCTTTCTCATCTCCACCAAAGACCTCTGAGAATAAGACCGAACAAAGCCAGCAGAAGATCGGAATCTGGCACATGATATCCAGACACTGAGAGGACTGAATATGTGATATTATCCTCGCAGCAAAACCCAAATCATCACCAAATCTCCTTTGGAAATATTCCACTTTCTGATCATCGGTAAACCCTCTTATTTCTGTCACCAAATCAATGTACTCTGCAGGTATCTGACTGGCTGCTGCTGGACGGGACGTTATCCAGATGCTTGCCTCAGGAAGGAGGTTACCCTGGATAAGGTTTACAAGCAGGTTATCTACAGATGTTACATCTGACAGAGACAACACTGTCTTATTGTTCTCAAAGTTAAACTTCAGTCGGCTTTCATCCAGACCATCAAGGATTATTACTATCTTTGCTTTAGTATAATCTGGAGGATCTTCCAGAGATTGAAGAGCTGGATGAAAATCACTCAGAAGCTCATTGAGGCTTTTTTCCTTCCTAACAAGGTTCAATTCTCGAAAAGCAAGACAAAAAACAAAGTCAATGTGTTGGTTTGCTTCCTCCTCAGCCCAGTCAACTATGAACTTCTGAACAGCAAATGATTTCCCAATGCCTGCAACTCCCTTTGTCAGGACCGTTCTGTGGGGTTTCCCTTGGTCCGCTAAAGATTTAAACATTTCCGTTAGGTTCACTGAGGAATCTTCTGAGGACTGCTTTTTAAGAGTGCCTTTCAGGTGTCTAAACTCATGCTCATCAGAAAGACTCTCTCCTTTGGTCACGTAGAGAGTTGTGTAAATACTTTTCAGTGAAATGTTTGGGTCACCATTGCCCTCAGCTGTAACTGAGAATTTCCTTTGCATTTCTTTTTGAAGTTTCTTCTTCAGTTTTAAATCGAGTCCTTCACCTGTGAAGCAAACCAAACTGACATTGATGAACTCATATCAAATGTTAATCATCATCTAAAACTCTTAACCCTGCTTAAAGTTTAAAATGTGTTTAAGACAACTGGTATTTCCTAAGCACAGAATTTATAAGCAGTTACGAGCAATAAAAAGTTTTTAAAACTTTACCATGTGTTTCTGGAGTTGTTTTTTGGCACTTTGGACAAAATTCATCAGATGTTGAAGACGACTGACACGACTCTCCAGCTATTAAAGCCTCTTTACAGACTGAACATTGCTTTGGTTGGCTATAAGATGAAAAACATAACAACAAAATATCATTCATTCTATAGTATGAGTTGTTTTATACTACATACTAGGATTACACTGATACCTTTAGCTTCCAAGACAAGACAAAGCAGTCGTGTTTGTGTTGACAGAGGACACAAACGTGATCAAGGCAGCAGAAATTCAGCACAAAGAAACGTGCATAACAAAACCTAGAGGTGTAGTTTTTTTAGTCTATGTTAGTAAGTTACTATATTCAATCATACATATTTCAAACAGAACTCTCTGTGAAACAGTCTTAATAGGTCTTACACCAATATTACAATGGTTTTACAGACTGAAAGAAGTTCATTTATTTAGTCATTTATTTATCTGAATGCTAATTGCAATTCAAGTAAAGGTTTAACAAATCAGGCATAGTTTAACATGTACTGTCACTGCAGAGCTATCTAGGTGAGGTTTGAATGTCTAAATACTTTATTTAGTAACCTTGAATAAGCTTTCTTTAAGCTTTACTAAAAATGGCGAAACTTACCTTGGAGCTGTTTCACCAGCAAAATCAGGCACTGCCTCTATGGATCGATCGCTCCTCATGGACAGATTGCTGAGAGCTGGAGATCTGCTTCCTTTTACAAGTGAACTACAAACAGAAAAGTTAACAAACACATGAGCTACTTTGTAGATTTTAACAAATTTGATACGCAAAAACCAATCAAAATAGTTTAGTGCTTTCTATGAAATGAAGCATAATTCTAACTGGCAAAATAAGCAAGACCAGAAACATTGCAGTTTAGCATAAATCTAGTCACCTCTAGCCACTGATAGAAAGACATAAAACAGTTGTGCTCATCTTTTTTCACACTATTGCCACTGGTAAAAGTAGGCAATTGTGGCATTGGTCTTGCTTCGGTTGAGGTTTACCCCTTCAACCGAAGGGTTGTTGGTTCAAGCCCCACTTCTGGCTTTCAGCATCATTGTGTCCTTAGACAAGACACTTCACCCGCATTGCCTTCTGATGGTGGAGCCTGTGTATGGCACGCTACCATCATTATGTGACAGTATGCCTGAATCTAGTGTAGAGAGCCTTGGTCAAGTCTTCTAACTNCTTCTGATGGTGGAGCCTGTGTATGGCACGCTACCATCATTATGTGACAGTATGCCTGAATCTAGTGTAGAGAGCCTTGGTCAAGTCTTCTAACTTGAAAAAAGTGCTGTATAAGTACATTTACCATTATCTTATATACACAGTGAAGGAAATAAGTATTTAAATACCCTGTGATTTTGCAAATTCTCACCCTTACAAATCAGATAGGAGTGGTAACTGTGAATAATTCAGGATGATTTTTAAATAATTAATTTGCATGTTAAGCTGCAAATAAGTACGGAAACACCTGTAAAAATTAATGTTAATATTTGCTACAGTAGCCTTTGTGAGCAATTACAGAAGTCAAACATTTCCTGTTCCTCATTTTCACAAGATTAGCACACACTGCAGGAGGGATTTTGGCCCACTCCTCCACACAGATATTCTCTAGATCAGTCAGCTTTCTGGGCTGTCACTGAGAAACAGAGTTTGAGCTTAATCCAAAGATTGTCTGTTGGGTTTAGATCTGGACACTGGCTAGACCATTCCAGAACATTGATATGCTTCTTATGGAGCCACTCCTTGGCTTTTCTGACTTTGCGCTACAGTGTTGGAAGACCCATCTACGACCCATCTTCAATGCTCTGAGGGAAGGAGGCTGTTCCCCAAAACAAACTCTTTGCTGATAGGCAGGTTTTTAAATACTGAAATAAAACATTACAAAATAATGAAAAGAAACATATTTTAGTGAGACTTTAAGGATTTCATTCAATATAATAACCTGATATGCCATCTAGGAAAAGGGTAATTGAAAAACAATCTTAATAGTTCTTAGACTAATATTTTTTTAAGTTTTGCAATGGTTTTACAGACTGAAAGAGGTTCTTCATTTATTTATTTATCTGAATGCTAATTGCAATTCAAATAAAGGTTTACCAGACCAGACATAGTTTATCATACACTGTAACTGCAGAGCTATCTAGGTGAGGTTTGAATGTCTAAATACTTTATTTAGTAACCTTGAATAAGCTTTCTTTAAGCTTTAAAAAAAATGGTGAAACTTACCTTGGAGCCGTTTCACCAGCAAAATCAGGCACTGCCTCTATGGATCGATCGCTCCTCATGGACAGATTGCTGACAGCTGGAGATCTGCTTCCTTTTACCTGTGAACTACAAACAGAGGAGTTTGCAAACACATGAGCTACTTTGTAGCTTTTGACAAATTCTAACCAGCAAATTAAGCAAGACCAGAAACATTGCAGTTTAGCATAAATCTAGTCACCTCTAGCCAATACTGGAGTTGAGGGAGGATGAGGGGTTATGGCATTCCCCTTCTTAAAAAAATATTAAAAATAATCACCCTTCTTGAATTACCTGTGACATTTTATCACTGAATGTCTAAATTTCATGGCTGTTCTGAGTGTTGTAGCTGTACAGACGATCTCCATCTGAAGTGAAGTTATTTTTTCTGTGATATATCTGTATCTAAGTGTCAGGTTTATTCAATGATGATTATAAAGTTAATGTGTGTACATATAGAACATTGAAGAAATGAGATGCTTCACTGTTTACTGCAAACTGTCATGCAACGGTGGTAGAAAATTGCTGATGTTTGTGCAAGGATAATCACAGTTATCGGGAGACCNCTGACCGCCTGAAACAAAGGAAAACCAGAATGGTTTTTTGATGGATCAACACCAAGTCATCCCTACAGTGCCAAGATGTGGTGGCAGCATTTCAACTGCGTTGCTGAAGGTTTGAACAAAACAGACTGTTCACACCTCCGGTGCAAATCCAGCACCATGGACAAGTTGGTTCACCATGGGATCATGGTGGCAGGTGCTAATGAAGATAGCATTTGTAGGATTGTTCTTCATATTTTTCCTTTTTATTTGTTGCTTAATACCATGTCTCCAGTCAATGATTCAGAGAATGATAGGATCCACTCTAATCCTGTATTCAGCTGTAACTTATTTTCAACTCCGCCAAGATGCTGATAAAGATACTGATGATTTGCAACTGTGTAATATGTTACAGGGATAATGATCGCTTCCTCGGGGAGGATCGGGTTGGAATTTTCCTCTATTGGAGAGGTTTTGCCTACTTAAGGGACAGGTTTTTGAAGCTTTTTACACTCGTAATAAATATAAAATTTTTGCTTAAGTTTTACATTTTAATCCTTTTCATATTTTTGTGTTTTGCATGTTAATCTTTGATTACTGAATTCCCTATCTGCAATGGATTTATGATGTGTGTAGTAAAAATCTTTTTAGAAGTGCTACATGCTAATGTTTATATGCACAACAGAAGGTAAATGTCAGGTCTATTCAATGATGATTATAAAGTTAATGTGTGTACATATTGAACATTGAAGAAATTAGATGCTTCACTCTGTTTACTGCAAACTGTCACGCAATGGTGGTAGAAAATTGCTGATGTTTGTGCAAGGATAATCACAGTTATTGGGAGACCACTCTATTCTGTGATTCAATCAGAAGGAGCATTTTGTCCTATGACCTGATCAATTGCCTTGTCAGAAGAACACTATTCTGTAACCCACCCCATGTGTTATGATCTGCTAATAAAAAGGCTTCTGCTGATGAAACCCACCAGAGAGCAGATGTGGCTGAACGTGGCTCTCTCCCTCTGAGGAGGCCAAAAATCCCTATTCTGTGCGGACTCAGTTTCTCTTTTATGAACATACATTTTTGAACGTAACAGATGGATTAGCAGGTGGCTCAGTGGGGAAACTGTTTGACTGAAATTTGGGAGAAGCTGTCTTGCTCCCCCTTTCCTTAGCTCGGGCTCGAATCCGATTGTCTAAACGGATCGAGAGGTTTATTAATTCCTTAAGAGAGTCAGGTCCATTTAGCATGGCTAGCTCGTCCTTGATAGAGTCATTTAGGGCGTGAGCAAAAACCCCTGAAGGGCTACTTTATCCCAGCCTGAGGCAGCAGCCATTATTCGGAAGTCAATGGCAAAATCAGAAACAGATCTTTGTCCTTCTTTTAATCTTAACAACTCACGAAAGGTTAGAGATTTGTCAGTTTCTTGGTTGGAAGTCAATTTAAACTCCTTGATAAACTGATCAAAGGTGCAGTCATAATTAGTGGATAAGGAAAATCTTACCTCAGCACAGTCCAGAGCTCGGTCAGTTAGATGAGAGATTATATATGAGATCCTTGTAGAATCCTGGAGAAACTTACTCGGAGCGTGGTTGAATTGAATGATGCATTGCATGAGGAATCCATGGAATTTTTGGGGGTCTCCGTCAAACCTGTGGGGGTTAGCCAACTGGCACTCAGAATGGGAGAAAGAATAAATGGCCTGGTTAGCTTGCTGCGGGGCTAGCTCGCCGGCTGGGCCTGAAGCCTGGAGAAAAAAACGTACAGCTTCAGTTAGATCTGTTACACTGTGATTTAATTCGGTCTGTTGATTAACCAGCTCGACCAGGCTGTTATCATGCCTGCTGGTTTATGGCTCTCTGAATGGCTTCTGCGGGGTCAGCTGTTTGGCCAGAGTGTTCTGTCATGATTTTATCAGGAGCTCGGACGCACGTGCAGATTAACCAGTCCAGAGAGACATGGAAAAAAAGTTTAACAGGTTTTATTGAGAAGTTTGGTGGAGATTCCAGTGTTGCTCTGAACACTGCTCAACTGGAACTGAAAGGTGACACTGCGGTTAGTTCAGGTTCAGTGGGAGAATAGATTCTCGAACTTGAAGAGGAGAATTGGTTGGCAGACTCACATTTCCAGAGATTAGGTTGACTCTTAGACTCCCGTAGATGAGGAATGTGTTCCGGTGTTTGTCTCATACGGCAGAGGGTGGAGCAGGGTTACCCAGAATGTGGTTGCTATTAGATGAACGGAGAACGACTGACTGCCACTCAGATCTCCTGCGGTACTTGAACGGACTGTTGTGCAGATAAATCCCTTGCTCAGTGTGAAGCTCAAACGTTTCCTCAGGGAAAAGTGGATCCAAACCTCCAGTTTGTTTCCTTAGCTCAGTTTGAAGCTCAGTAGATCCTTCCAGGGAGAGAAGGTCCGAAAAATCCAGTTTGCAGGATGATTTCCTGCCGAGAGGCAAAGACAAAAAACAATGTTAAGACTCAGGTTGACAAAAACTCAGTTTGACTCAGCAAAACTCAGCTTGGCTAGAGGACCCAAAACTGGCAAACACTCTGGCGTCGAGGTAGTGGCAGTCAGCAGCTTAAGCACACTCCATTAACGAGGTAACTCCTTGCAGGTGTGTGAGGAGGAGAATCAGAACCAGGCACCGCCTGGTGGAGGAAGGAAGACAAACACAAAAAAACACAGACAAGATTCCTAACAATTACTTCCAGCATTATATCTTCATCCTAAAATATTTCCACTGTAAGTCATCAAGAGTAATCATACATTAACACTAGTGCTAGCTAGTGGTTAAAGCTCCTACCTTGTTCAGGTTTTCTATTTCTTTGTTTTCACTGTATGTTGTTTTACTGTATCCACAGAAGCAGACAAAATTGTTCTACAAGAGATTTCTCTATACATCTTAAGTTCCAAGAACATCCCTTTACAGAAGACAAGTTACTGAAAAGGTAAGTTCAGGAGAAAGATATGTTATCTAGTAAATGTAGTTATTTTTATATCCCAATGTTCAACCATATGTTTTAAACAACCAAGGCTGCATTTGATTGCTCTACATTTGTCTCAGATTTGTTTGGCAGATTATAGTAATGCAGATGACCAAGAAGTGGATAGAGAGAGACAGGAGGACAGAGAGGAAGATAATGTAATTGGACAAGATGGCAGAGAGGAAGATGGCAGAAATGGACATGATGACAGAGAGGAGGATGATGATGGAAGTGGACAAAAAGGAAGATGGGGGAAGTGGACAAGAGGACAGTGAGGAAGATGGTGGA